CAGGGCTTCTTGGCTGCTTCGAATGCTTTTGAAAGCTACACGATCGTTGACGGTGTTGCATAGTATTCTCGAGTTACAGGCGTTTGATTATCCGAATTAGACAAGCACCACATCAATAAGATTAAAAATGAGATTGTAGTCGATGAGATTCATCGATAGTGGCAAGTTGACTGAGTCGATTCCTCAAATTGACCCAAAACTTCAAGGCGATCTGACTAATATTTGAGGGTTTGGGGGTTTTCGACTTTTTCAACCCACAACCCACCTCTGAGTGTCATAAGCTTATGAACATGTGTCATCACTTTCCTGCATGACTCCCACTCGGACCTTCATAGAAATTTTCGGAAATGTCAACCATGGTCACTTACAAAAATCGTGAAAGAGCACACTCGGAAGTTAAACCAACTTTCCCCGAAGGGAATATTAATACCGTCATAACCAAACAAACAACACCCTCTCCGACCCGCCTATGCACAGTGCGTAGTCTTAAGAGTGGTGAAGAAGGGAGGAAAGAAGATATTAAAAAAGTTTGGTTTAAAATAAGAGAAGAGTCAGTTTCAAGTTTCCAATAAGACAATCAAATGGAGGCATTTTCAATCACACAAAAGACCAATTCCCCTTTATTTCAATATAAAGAAAAGGAATTCAACTGAAAAACAATCTTACATTTACGAAAAAACAACCAAAGCACCCATGTGTGAAGAATCTCCAATCACATGATTTTTGGACTCAGGCAGACGCAACGCCAATGACCTCTGACGTATATTCGAAAAGCTTTGGAACTCCAACGTCCAGCAGATTGGATATAATCCATTGATGCACCAGACTGAGCTAAAGTTGTAGCACCACCAGAACGAAGAGAATGGCCGGAAAAATGTTTGTCGAATAACTTGTGGAAACAAGATAAGAACCATGAACGCGTTGGAGAAACTCCCTTTGAAGTGATGAATAATTGATGACAAGACAAAAAACAAAAATCTCTTGAATCAAGGTAATGTAACATAATTTTTACTGGACAGGCTGACGAATTCTCGAAATATTGAGTGATTACTGGAACACCTGTAAAGCCTGTGTCACCTTCAGAATAAGGAAGAAGATATTTGATGTACCTCCTACAATGAGATAGACGAAAAGAATCACGCAAAATAATCTTTCTTGAGTCAAATAGTTTTTGAGAATCCGGAATCGTGAGTTCACCTAGACGATGTAAACCCCCAAACCCGACACATAGAATAGCGAGAAAAAGACGATCATCGTGAGTTGTACCCATTTTAGACACAGCGAAATTGAGATGAGAAAGGGTTAATGGACTCTTTTGAACAACCGGCTTAGAACACAACTTGATGCAACTCTTCATAGTAGCTCTAACATCCTTGACTCTTGATTCACAAACGATTATCGGATATTTTAAATTAAAGGTAAATGCAATACCAACTAAGTATACTCGAACTGATCTGGGAGATATTTTGGTACTGGTGTAAGATATATAATCACACAAGGTTTCAGCATCCGGATTAAAGAGATAACCAAATTGAAGACAAAAACGAAAAAAACTTTTAAAACCGCATTCATATTTTATGATGGTAGAAAGATTAACAGTCAATTGGTGATTTATCGCCGACAATACTTTGATTTGAGCTATAGTCGTGATCTCAGAATCCTTGTTCATGATTGATGATGCCAGTGTAAAGAAGAACCTTTGAAAAAATCGAGATTCACTTCGGTTCCACCCACTAAGAGAGAAGGGTCAATGTCAAGGAGCTTTATTGAAAGCGGGTGATATTTATTCTTGGTTTCAATCGTATGATTACGAGATAAAAGGTCTGCACATGAATTTTGTAAACCAGGGATGTGAGCAACTTTTACTTCCGCCTGAGACACAACCAGCCGTTTGATTATGTAACAAAACAAAGGTCAAACCAACTGATTAGGACGATGTGAATTAAACAAATGAAAAACCAATTTGTTGTCAGTATGTACGTAAATTCTTTTCAAACACGCGTCAATCCCCAAATCAATAGCAGCTACAACTGCCAACAATTCCGCCCAAAAAATGTTACGAGTAGGAGGAGGAAGAGGTAAATGAAAAGCCAATTTCGTCGCAGGTTCCCAAACCCCAATTCCGAATTGACAAGCGTCACAAAAATAAGACAAATCCGCATGATAAGCCGACCACTTTGATGACTTCAAAATCAGGACACCGTTGATGTTTTCAAAATAATTAATCAGCCACCAAAGATCTTCTTGATTCTCCTTATTGAGGTGAATATGCAAAAAACGTTCGATTTTTCCTGCTGTTTTTTCGCAAACCGTCCCATAGGCATTGAATTGAATCCCCACAAAATCCATCCCTGCATTGACTGCCAATCTCGGAGAGAATGATTAGGTACCAAAACAAATTTCTTCATTGCCTCAATCATCAAAGTTTTCTCATCTGGCTCTAAGTAAATACTCATTTTCTCAGAATCCACCATATGACCAATCACCTCCAACGCGACCCTGCATGAAGCTGCTTTTTCCATACCCATGGAACACCCAGAATATCAAAGACAGTAAGTAATTTCGCCTGAGGCCCTGGAATCTTGTGATCCTTAAAAGTAATCCAATCTTTTGCATCAGCAACACCCCAAACATCATCCATCATACTATTTAAATTCTTAATATGAAAGATATGTTTTAGAATCCAAAGAATTAAAGAAAAGAAACCACACCATATATGTGGAGAATCTGAATGACCAAAGGTAAGGTTGTGGTCACAACGACATTTACCACCCTGACGAATTCTCAACACCTGTCGGATTTGATATTGAGGATGTGCTGGAAGTGTTCTGAAAGCACCTTCAACATCTGACTTGAAAACTGTAACTTTCCCATGCTTTCTTTTCTCTTCCATAAAATAAGGCGCAAAAGACTTTAATGAATCATACGATACTCTGATTTTATTCTTATCCACTAAGTCGTTCGGCGATGGATTTCCAAAACTCATATTGGTACACACGCGCATCTTTTTCGAATTCTTCTTTGAGACCATCAAAAGCGGAATCACATTCATACCCGGAAGAAGTGTCGTGAATTCTTCGGAATAGCGACCTTTAATTATTTCTCCTTCGCATTGATCTTCTAGCCAAGCTTGATGCTCGAGACATGATTTGTGATTAGGTATATCGGAGATTTCTGAAGTTGGAAGAGATGAAGTCGGCCAAAATCCTTCCCTAAGACCTTTAATAACAGACTTAACAAAAGGTTGATTAGGATGAGTTTTTAACAATTCTTCAATTTTATCTACATTATAAGGAGTTTGGACTTTGAATAAATATCGTATTGTTTTAGAATAAATGCCGTGTCCTCGTCAATTTCTAGAGAAGGAGGATCCGGAAAAGGATCGGCCGTTAAACTTGATTCAATAGCCGCCGAATATCCTTTTGGCGAAGTACTATCCCACTGATATCCTCGCAAATATTGCTCCAAAGCGTACTCTTCAGGTGTGATCACGTCCAAAATGTTTCTGATGACATCCCCGGACGTTCTATATGAACTCAAATATTAGTGTTCAATCAATACCAATATAGATGAAACTTCTACTATGACAGAAAAATTGATAACGAAACATACACAAAAGTGAAGCCGTTTACACGTAGGACCCACTGCACAAACACCTTTCTTATTCCAACTAAAACAGAATTGTTCATGTGTTTTAGGGGTAAGAGCAGAGTCCTCAATTGGAAATTTCCCACCGTGCTTAAACCAAGAATGATATTTATCTGAATCAAACGGTTTCTGTGCTTGTGCTGCGTTACCGGAACTAAAGTTTGGTCGTTGCCTTTGGTTACTTTGGTTCAACGGACGTGAAGAAGACACTAAATGAAACACATTAGAAACACTCACACACTTTCCCTTAATGAACAAAAAATGCTGACTCGAAGCAACATGGCTAAAAGGAACAGAACTACCAAAACTTTGTTGATAGTATGCACTTCCAAAGAACTGAGTTTTAAGAACCTCACAGTCCTTATGGTCCCAGTCTGCAAAAGAAATATATTTCCTATTCGCGACCTGAGCTCTAAAGGCTGCATCATACCCCGCAATATTCTTCCAGTTAGCCATGATTCCAGCCAACCAAAATTGAGACTTGATATATTTCCCATATTTGGAAATATACGTTTCACAATCCGGAAAAGCCGCCTTAATCGCCCTTTTGAGAATACCAAAGTAATAGAGCCACTCTGCCAATTCACTGATTTCTTGAGTAAGATTCTTCAAAACTTCCAAACCTTTTTCTCTACCAGACGCCGTGTAAGTCGTGTCTCCTTTCTTTGGATTAAGCAGTTCACCTTTAATCCGTCTGATGTCGATAAATTTTCCCAAAAGAAGTTCCTTTGTAAGGACCTCTGGAAAATCTGGCGGTTTTGCCGAATTGTTGAAGTACTTGACTGCCTGAACGATACTCGTGTCGTAACCTTTGACGTCTGCTGCAAATAACAAAGCACCCGGAGTAAAATGTGCTGTTGGTTTGTCGGTAACTTTCTTCTTTGATATGAAAGCATATTTCTTAGCATTCTTTTCAGACTTTGTTGAAGAGTCAGACGAAGAGTCGGAAGTGTCATCTTTTTTGTGATGCTTTTTACGTTTGCCTTTCTCATTTGATTCATGTAGAGAAAGAAGAGAATTGAGACGACTCTGGGTTTCATAGTTCTGTCTTGATAACCTAGCAATCTTTTCTTTGTCGGTAAGTACTGTAGGTTCAACTTGATTATTATTCGTGGAAGTTGAAATCCCCGTTGGTACCTCTCCAGAAGGCGACATCGGTCTTGATAAATCCGGAGGGTACTCAGGATTGTCGGAAGGGTTAAATATGTAAACCCTATCGTTGTTTGATCTTGGAGTTGTCGTGGGCATTGGTAAGTGGTTTTTGAACACCGGATGTCCTGCATCTTTATCATGTTTGACAAGTTTAATAGCAAAGTTGGACCAATGTCTATACCAATTCTTTGAATGGAATGGTATGACCTCCACAAATTGAGCTCGAATCTCCTCCATAGATATAGTAGAGGAGCCTCCAGCTTCTTTATAACTCTTTTCGATTTCCACCAATCTAGCAATAACCCTCGCTGCTGCATCGTATGAAGCTGAGCTCGAAGAAGCATCACCAGACATGCCCTATTTACCGTTTTCCTTTCTACTTTGATTTTTTAAAGAATAAGGTCTAATGAACAGATTAGACTGAGAAAAGATTTTCGAAAGAGACAATGAAAATAGGATGATGGTAATCGAAAAGGATGAAGATGGTCAACAGGTAATGATGTCAATTACCAAAAAGGTAATATAACAAAAACAGACCCGGTCCGTCATTACCGACATTTAGTTACACATCCCTATTATTCATGACATTCCAATCAGTAAATAACAAGTTACCTACAACTATTGATGGCGTATGGAGTTTTTCAACAACAGAATCCAACACAATACACATTTTAGTTCAATTGAAGGAACCATGACAAATTAGGACGGGCGACAAGTTCAACTTCAAGGCTCTTCAAGGTACAGATGCAATTCAAGAAACCCAATGTTGTTGGAATGAATATCTCCACAAAACATTGCTTGAACTTACAAAGACTTGCGACAGGGATAGCTTGCCGAAAATTTGAGCCTTACAATTTTCGATCTTGCCAGAAAAGCAATTTGGTGTACAAAAAGTGGAAGAAAGACCACTGTACCATCCCATACCACCTTGCTACCTTGCTGTTGGCACATGTCATCTCCAGTACAATGGGCATCTTAAGTTGGAAAACAATCATAGGGTGTTAGTATCCATGATCCCATAGACTCGAAGACAAGGGTCAACATTGAAGTCATTATCGTTTATTTCATGGTATGTAGTGAATATTTATTTGACGACACGGCAAATGTCTACCCGTGCAAAAACAAGAGAAAAATTTTGATAGGATTTGATAGGATTCAACGAGAGTATATGTACATACATAATAATCAACTCATACAGACAATCTGATTACCTAGAACCAAATAGTAAAGATCTTAATCAATCTTGAAGAGAATCAGTATCACTTTGTAGAATCGTCTAGCTACCCACAGGGACAAGTGTTGATGAGAGATAGCCAGGATATGATGACGGAGAATTCATACCTCCTCAAGACGGATTCTACGCTCCAAAAAAAGTTAGGTTATCATCACACTCCTTGGATGAGTAACAATCTCAACACATTTAAGAAATATACAAATCCCAATTCCTAAATTTAATTGGAAAGAAAATGCCACACAAACCGGTCAAAAAGAGGTTCCGTATATCAGAAGAG